TGTCACTGTATTAGGCACTGTGGATGACACAAAAGAAGTCAATACACCATAGTTAATCATCAAATAAATTTCCCTTTATTTGGTAAGAAAAGATGGAAATATATGTAAAGAGTTAAAACAATTCCAAAACCAAGTATATGGAAACCACCAAGACCTGTCATCCCCATTTCCCCACAGCTACTGTTGCCCCTCCCGGGGACCCACTACAGTCTTCTTCCATCAAAGACTCTGAGAGACAAAATAAAAAATAAAAGCTAGCGTGCAAAGAGCAGTGAGCATTCACCAGACATAATCTCTCTGGCCGTGTTTCTGAAATGTAGATCAAAAGGTGTATTCTTCGGGGAAGAGGGTCTGCAGGATTTTGAGATTTTATGTTTTCACTTAAATGATCTGGAAATTTTGATGTTAGCATATTAGGAATTGTCTTGTAACCAAGCGCTGACATTTTATTTTAGTGTCTATATTTGTATTTCTGCTTATGGTCACATTGGCTCCAAGCAGCCATACATAAATGATGTCAGACTAATGAGAAAAGAAGTGGACTAAATACATAAATGATATGCCCAAACTAAGTGAAGGCCAAACAATGTCATATGCTGTTCAAGAGAGGTTTCCATAGTATTCCAATAAGAGGTATGGATGGGAGACTTAAGTCGTTGTCTCACACACAAATAGACATATTGAACTCAGAAGAACACATACTGTGCTGGGCAGTGCCATGTTCAAGTGGCAAAAGCCAAAATGGAATAGAGTAGTTATGAGATTTTGTTGGTTTCAAGAAGAGGCTTGTTTACTTCTGATAAAATCGGCAAAGGAAGATGTGACGAAAAGACCTCAGTTATACCAATTACTGCTTAGTAGATGATTGTAGAAATGGCTCTGATAAGAGTAATGTGATACAACTCCCAGCACAAATTATTGAAGGGAAATGTAATCTAATCATATGACTTTGGTCAATAAGCTTCCAAAATAGTCCTCAGTAGGTGTTATCTACTTGAGATATTCATAACCTGATGTCAGCCTTGTCTTTCTTGACCTCTGTTGCTTTGGACACTGTGAAACAGATTCCTCCTTCTGGAAATGTCTCCTCCCTTTGGGTTCCATGACCAGATTGTCTTCCTGCTACCCTGAGAGCTCCGACTCGGTTTCCTCTGTGAGCTTGCTTCTCAGACAGTGCTGTGCCTCAGGCCCTATCTCAGCTCCTACCTCTCCCAGTCAATGTCATGCCACAAATATGCTGACCATTTCCAAATCTCTTCTCTTGAACGTTTCCACCCTCTTCTCTTGAACTTGACACCCAGGACTTCCTTTTGTTTGTATTAAAACAAAAACAATAGCAATAATAATAACCCAAACCACACAAAACTGTATACTTAAAATGTACAAATCAGTTACCATCTTCCTCACACATCTGATACCCTCTGATAATCTTTGTTTCAGTCAGTGGCATCACCTGTCCAGTTAACTGAGATGGAGACTTAGGACTCATCTCTGACTCTTTGATCATTAAATGCATTGCAAACGTTTTACATTGTTGCAGGAGCGGCCACGGGAAATGGATCTCTCAGACACTGAATACTGGAGGAAGGAGTTTATTTGGCCAGGAGCAAGGTGGCGTATTTACGTAATAGCCAAGCTCGCCTAACAAAGGAAAGTTCCTTCTTTATATAGGCTTATACTTTAGATGTTACACGTGGAAGAATCTTAGGTTTATAGCTTAACATATGAAAAGGGTCTCAGTTTACAATCTTAGGAATTACATATGAAAAGGGTTTCAGTTTACAGTCTTAGGAATTACATATGAAAAGAGTTTTAGTTTACAGTCTTACGAATTACATATGAAAAGGGTTTCAGTTTACAGTCTTAGGAATTACATATGAAAATGGCTTCGGTTTACAGTCTTAGGAATGAAAAGGGGAAGTTTACAGTCTTAGGAATGAAAAGGGGAAGTTGATCTGAGATGCCTGGGTCTCCCTCTTCAACATCATAAATAGAACCAGTATTATCTATACATTTTTTAGGTGTGTGGCTGTGAGGAAGGTAGGTAGGTCCCTGATTTAGTAGCATTCAGACTGAACAGCTCTTTTTTGGCTTGGCTAAGGCGAGGGGCTTGCTATTGGTCTATTGCTGAGTGGCATTTGAAAGTTGTTGAAGAGGTGAGCAAAATGCAAAGCGATCAAGGACTTCCCTTGTAAATCAGAACTCCTGGCCCTTTTTCTCTAAGGTCTCAAGTTATGACAATACTTCTGATGTCCTGGGATGGTCCTAAGAAGGCTCAGTGGTCAGAAATGTACAATAACAGCCCTCAAGGAGAAATCCACTGTGTTGGTGGTGACGTTGGTGATGGAGTTGGTGATGGTGTCTTATCCTAGGGGAGGGTCAGTGAGGAACAGGGTCATATGATTGCATTACATTCTGATCCACCACCTTAGACCCTGGGGGTCGTCAAGAGAAATGGCTGGTTAACTTTAAATGCAACTGTCTGTCACTAGAGTTGTAACCAGTAACCCAGTGTCCCATGGTGTGGAGTACCCATTGCTATGACCCTTATGCCTGAGAGCTGAACATCTTGTTTCTGGTACCAGCCTCACCAGAGCAGTGGTTGGAACATGAGGCAGAGTGACTGGACTTCTCAGTTTCTTTTCTGCACAACGATAGTTAACAGGACTACCTTGTTTGGACTAAGTAAGCACCTGGAGGGTTTTACTTTTCAAGGAAGGAAGAACTCAGAGAATGAGAATGCACTTCTTACAAGCAGTAGGATGGAAGCTCAGATTTGATTTATCTGCATAGTAGTGACTTAAATTTGGCTTATTTCCTATAGCAGCAGGTAAAAGCTCCTAGAACAGGGGATGGCAATTTGTTGGTATTCAACAATGTGTGGATTTGAATCTAACTCTTGCGTAATCAGACACACCTCGTACTATCTTTGAGAAATTGTAAAGGACAACCCGGCCACCATTCTGAATTGACATTTCCCCTTCAGAAGAGTCAGTCCAATCTTTTTGTTTGTTTGTTTGTTTTTAGAGTCAGTCCAATCTTAACAGGCTTGTGAATAGCAGGAAGAGAGGCTTTAAAGTCAGCGAGTAAATTAAATTCCCATGCATATGACTTCACACTATAGCCCTTGTTTAGAAGGTTAGCCCACCTGTTTCCACCTCCAGCTCCTTACCTTTACCCCAGGCCACCATTGTTTCTCACCTGCATTGCTGCACTGTTTCCTACCTGGGCAATACGACACAATCTTCTTTGGAAAACCATCAATAGCTTCCCCACTGAATTCAGAATAACACTCAACCTCCTCGCCACGACCTGAAAGAATCGGGCCACATCTATTCTGCACTTTCGGTCAGCCAAATTCCCTTCCAAGTCAGGATTGCCACACTGCTCCTTCTCTTCCTTTAGGTGGCGGCTGAAATGTCACCTTAAAGAATTCTCTATCACACCCAAAGTAGGAAAGTGTTATTCTCTAGCTCAATAACTTCTTGTTTGATTTTTTTTTAACACTTCACACTCTATATTGTTTTATATATTTGTATGTTTGCCTTTTTTGGTCATCTGTGCCCTGTACTACGATGAAGCTCCATGCATGCAGGGACCATGGCTGACTCTTGTATGACTGTGTCATGTCTAGAATTGGGGCTGGCATGCAGAAATCTTAGTCAAGTGGATGAAATGAGGCGGTTTTGTTCAGTACTCACAAATTATGGAATTATACACCTAATCTACCCTTGGGAGCCACAGAGAATAGTTGTCTGATGTGTTTATTTTTCTAAGAAGCTGAGCTTATGACAAAAGCTCTGTCTGGCTGAATCATTTAAAACACATGTGTACCAGAACATTCAGCAAACTATCATGACAAACAATATTCAAATAATAACAGAAATGGAAAAGATTTATTTGTGAAGCCAGTCTAAAATGTGTTACTCCCAAACTCATTGTAATTCTAGCTGAAATTTCATTCTCAACTAGAAAGAGGGACAAAGATGTCCAACCTCACTACTAATCAAATAAACACACACCAGGAGAACAATTAGGGTATCATCTTTCACATTCAAAATGAGCAAATAAGCCGGGCGCGGTGGCTCAAGCCTGTAATCCCAGCACTTTGGGAGGCCGAGGCGGGTGGATCACGAGGTCAAGAGATCGAGACCATCCTGGTCAACACGGTGAAACCCTGTCTCTACTAAAAATACAAAAAATCAGCTGGGCATGGTGGCGTGTGCCTGTAATCCCAGCTACTCAGGAGGCTGAGGCAGGAGAATTGCCTGAACCCAGGAGGCGGAGGTTGCGGTGAGCCAAGATCGCGCCATTGCACTCCAGCCTGGGTAACAAGAGTGAAACTCCGTCCCAAAGAAAAAAAAAAATGAGCAAATAGTTTGTTTTTAAGATAAAATTAGCTGGGCACAGTGGCCTGTGCCTATAATCCCAATTACTTGGGAGGCTGAGGCAAGAGGATCGCTTGAGGCCAGGAGTTCCAGACTAGTCTGGGAAACATAATGAGACCTCATCTCTAAAACAAAACAAAACTATATGTGTGTATATATCTACATCTATATATGTAGATATGTGAACAAATATATTCATTTGGCCAGCCTGAGGTAAAATGAACAAAGTGTCATATATTCCTAGTAAAAAGTGAATTGGTATAACCTCTTTCAGAAGTATAATTTAACAGCATGCACTAAAATCATTACACATTGTCTACTCAGCAAGTCTTACTGATGAAATAACAAACATGGTCACAGCAATTCAGCTATTTAGATTTTTATCAGGTTGTCTGTAATTTGAAAAGACCCAAATATATACGAACATATAACTACAACTATATATATAAAACCACATATTCTGTGACATAGAAAAAAAGAAGAAATATAAAGTATCTATCTATATATAGATATAAAATAATAGGGGAAAAGTGCACACATATAATTGCATGTTGAGAAAGGCCATTATATTATTTTTATAAACTATTTAATTACAAGGGAAAATTTTCAAGCCATGATATTGGCTGAAAAAAGGCAACAAAAAGTATTTGGCATAGCACATCCCAATTTAAAAAAAAATAAATATACATATAAATGCATAGAAAAAAGCCTATTAAGTAATATATCAAATGTTACTAATAATAGTCTTTGAGGGATAGGATTATTAACAATATTTGTTTGCATATTAAATAACATAGACAGAATGACTTTCTATATTGTCCACATTTTCGGCAATGAATATGTATTAATCTTGATAACCAGAAAAAGTTTAGCTAAAAAGAAATGAGAGAGGGAAGCAATAGAACAATTACATGTAAAGTCATTTCTGTTTGTTAAAAAGCTTTAGGAGAAAACCAAAACCTAGACCTTCTCAAAGGTTGCTATTTTCCAAGTGCTTCTACAAGCTTTAATGTTGAATCAGCAACCACATGGCAAAGGGACCTTCTGGGACGGTCACAGGTAGCCCAAGATAAGAGGATGATGGATGTTAACTACTCACCAGCAATCGAGTCCTTTATCTAGACAAGTAAAGTCAAGAATGGAGAAATAACTGCTCTGAAGTGAAGGGAGGAACTGGGGGGAACGTTTGTACTGCCTGGATCAATCTATTTAAAGCCAGACTCAGAAATCAGTGAGACTCACAGCACGTGGAAATCTGCTGTGAGTCCAACCCTCTCATCCTACCCCCCAAAAAAAGAAAGCCACAGGTGAAATGACTGTGCGATCCTCTATGGAACACATTGCCCTGCCCTAGGTCTGTGCCCAGGGACTGTGAATGGGGTCCTCCCTGGAACCCAGGCCCTGCTACCGTCTGTCCACCTTCGTTTTCCTAACAGAAAGTGAAGTTTTTAAGCAGGAGTTTAAGGAGGCAGTTAAGAAACTTAAGACATTTTGAGACCGAAGAGCTTAGATTCCTGCTCATGCCGCAGGAGGATAAAACATCCTCTCTAATCTTTCCACTCCTGCAACTGCTCCCATCGTTACTCAGTTTTTACTGTTGGTGTCCTCGAAGTCACTGCACTGCCGAGGATTATGAAAACAGGACAGTCACCAGCTCGGGGAGGGAAGGCCATGCCCTTGGGTATCTTTAAATGAAGGGAGATGGAATTTGTCTGGTCAGCATTCATTCCAATCCTCATCAATTTTGGTTCACTTTGTTTCTATCTCCCTGCAGCCCTGAAGATAGTAGATACTTTTGTACTATGCAAGAAACCCGTAGGTAATTAGAATGGAATCTGTAAGTATTTCCTGCCATGGAACTTGTAAGAAAAGAAAAAGGGAAAAAAGAAAAGGAAAAAAAAGGATCTGCAAGTATTCAGAACACAACTAAGCAAAAGTATCCATTTTATTTATTTATGTCATTATTTTTAAAATAGAGACGAGATCTCACTATGTTGCCCAGGCTGGTTTCGAACTCCTGAGCTCAAGTGATTCTCCTGCCAGGGCCCTCTCAAAGTGTTAGGATTACAGGTGTGAACCACGACAGCTGGCTGGCTTTTCCTTAAAAAAAAATTTTCTTCCCCAAATAACCTGCTTGCCCCACAGTACTCCCTGTCTAGTGTTCCACAGGCTGCAGCTTTGTTGGATTTTCCTGAAGACTGAGAGTCAGTTTCCAGGGCTGCAGTGACAGAGGACCTCAAGCTGAGTGACAGGACAGGCAGAAATGTATTCCCTCCAGTTCTGGAGGCCAGAAGATGGAAATCAAGTGTCTCCCGGAGAGTCTAAGGGAGAATCTGTTCCATGGGCGTCTCTTAGCTTCTGGTGGCTGCTGGTGACCCCTAACATCCTCTGGCTGGTAGCATCACTCTAATTTCTGCCTCCTTCATCACAGGTATTCTCTCCGTGTGTCTGGGTCTCTGGGCCCCATTATAAAGACACCAGTCATATTGGATTGGGGCCCACTCTAATCCAGTATGACCTCATTGTCACTAGTTATATCCCATAATGACCCTATTTTGCAAATTTTTCAAATGAGGTCACATTCTAAGATACTGGGAGTTAGGACTTCATCATGCTTTTTTGAGGACCATAATTCAACCATAGTATCCTACATCTTCTATATCTACTTTCTTTCTATTCGATGGTTTACCAAGGGTAGGGAAGCAGGAGTATTCTGCCCGGATACTGACAACAAGAGACGATTGTAAAGAATGTATAAATGTAATAAAAATGACTAAAGGATACTCTGCTTTTCATTGTCTATTCGGGCCAGCAGTTCTAAACAATATCTGTGAATAAAATAAGCACCCCCATCAAATCTGTTTGTTGGATCTAAATAATTGCTGTGTGTGGCAGTTTAAAAATATGTCTACAAATTTTTCCATATTCTTCCCTTCCAATTCCCCTGTCTTGAATGTGGGTTGAACTTAACATTTTTCTTTGGTAAGCAAAATGTTAGTTCTTACTTAATATATTACAGAATTTGAATTCTATCTTTAAGTGAAAATTTATTTTTGTTGATTGTTTTAAACTAAAGAAGGAATCAAGCAAACAAGCATAAAATGAAGTATAACAATAAAAATGTTTTTAGTAATTACTGGAAATAGTTTTGTTGTTTACGGCCAAGGTGGTGTGAGAAAATGATTTGGTGTGGATACACTATGTCACTGCTTTTACAGCACTGAAACTTGAGACTCAGAATTCTCTGAGACAGTGTACAATTTCTAGTATCTAAAGAAGACCACCACATTTTCTTCAACATGTCTGTTTCTGATGTCAGAGGGTTAGATCATCTAAAGACTGAAATTATATCCCTCCTTTAGCTGATGGAAAATTCACCAAAGATTTCTTGAGTACCAACTATGTGGTCAGAACACATCTGTGGACAAAACAAGCTTCTGCCTTGTGAGCGTACCTTCTAGGGAAGGGAGACAGCAAACCAAGAGGTTAGAAGTAGCTGGGCAGGTGGCTCACACCTGTAATCCCAGGGACTTGGGAGGCTGAAATGGGAGGACTGCTTGAGGCCAGGAGTTTGACACCAGCCTGGGCAACATAGTGAGATCCTATCTCTTAAGGAAAAAAAAAAGGTTAGGGGAAAAAAAGTCAAAAAAGGACGGAAGGATGGGCATGCTGGGGTGGGGTGGAGGGGGCAGGTTGTAGGATTATGCAGTTGACTAAAGCAGCTCCCACGGAGGAGGGAGACTTGAGGAAGACTTGCAGGAAGCCAGCCAGTTTGCCATGCAGATAGCTGGGAAAACATTCCAGGAAACAGTCCTGTGAAGGCATGGCCTGTGTGGATGTGTACCTGGCATGCCGGAGGAAAGGCAAGGAAACCAACGCGAGCATGAAGGAGGGGGAGAAGCTGCCTAGGAAGAGGGCATACGCTTGGATGAGGCAGCTCTGTTCCATGGGGGAGTGCCTGTAGGCCAAGTCAACTAAGAGCCCTCAAGGCCCACACTCACAGCAGCTGGGAAATGAGGCTTCAGCCTGAAAAGGCTCAGGGCACCACTCCCAGCATCTCCTACAGAGTTGGATTTATAGGAGTCATTCCATTTGGCTAGGGAATTAAAGGGGTGTCCCCTTTTGGAAGAGAAATTATATTTAAGAGGGAAGCTGGGTGCAGTGGCTCATGTCTGTAATCCTAGCACTTTGGGAGGCCAAGGCAGGCAGAGTGTTTGAGCCTAGGAGTTCGAGACCAGCCTGGGGTAACATGGTGGAGCCAGATCTCTAAAAAAAAGAAAAAATTAGCCAGGTATGGTGGCAGGTGCCTGTAGTTCCAGTTACTTGCAGGGCTGAGGTGGGAGGATCACCTGAGCCCAGGGAGGTCAAGGCTGCATCTCAAGGCTGAGTTGAGATCGCACCACTGGACTTCAGCCTGGGTGTCAGAGTGAGATCCTGTCTCAAAAAAAAAAAAAAAAAAAAAGAGGTCACCTTCTTCCTCATCTGTATCCTGTAATTTCTTGCACAGCCTATTCATTATCCTTAACTCAACTGTTTAATTATTCCACACATTTCCTGGGAGTGGAGGGTATGCCCTGGGGAAAGCTGTTGATGGGTGTGGAGTTAAGATCCCTTGGGGTCCCTGCCCCTAGCTCAGGGCTAAGCTGACCACTCTGGGCCCTGCATTTAATATGCTTCAGTTTCTACTCTCATTGTCATTGCCTTTTCTGTAGCCTCCTTTAATTAAAAAAAAAATTTTTTTTTAGAGGCAAGGTCTCTCACTCTGTCGTGGTATGAACATGACTTACTGCGGCCTTGACCTCCCAGGCTCAAACAATTCTCCCACCTCAGCTTCCCCAGTGGCTGGGACTATAGGCACATGGCACCACCATGCCCAATTTGTGTATTTTTTGTAAAGATAGGGGTCTCACCATCTTGCCCAGGCTGGCCTCGAGCTCCTAGACTCAAGCAATCCCCCCACCTTGGCCTCCGAAGGTGCTGGGATTACAGGGGTCAGCAACCTTGCCCAGCCTGTGGCCTCCTTTTCTTACTACAGATCAATTCTGCTTTGGAATTCAGTGTTCTTGCTTAACCTTGTCCCCCACCCACCTCTCCTTCTACTTTTACCTGGTATAGATTATCAAGCCCATATACCAGACTTGCCGAATGGGAAAGTACAGTTCTCCAGTGAATTAACCGCTGTTTGCCAGGAATTTTGGCTTTGAGGAAAAAGTAAATTTGAACACTTCTAATAACTCATACAACTCCAAAACATTATGGTAAGTCCTGAAAATGACACTTGGTAATGTACATGCAGTTATGACTGAATTGCTCCCCAAAATGCACTGGTTTTAGAGCTTACCTCAAATGTGACAGAAAAACAGGGAGAAGGGCCTTTAAAGAGATGACTAAGATTAAATGAGGTCTTTAGAGTGGGTCCTAATTCAAGAGGACTGGGTGTCCTTATAAGAGGAGGAAGGCAGGCTGGCACGGTGGCTCACGCCTGTAATCCCAGCACTTTGGGAAGCCAAGGCAGGCTGATCACTTGAGGTCAGGAGTTCGAGACCAGCCTGGCCAACATACAGTGAAACCCCATTTCTACTAAAAGTACAAAAATTAGCCAGGAGTAGTAACATGCACCTGCTTTCCCAGCTACTTGGGAGGCTGAGGTGCAAGAATCCCTTGAACCTGGGAGGTGGAGGTTGCAGTGAGCCGAGATCATGCCATTGCACTCCTGCCTGGACAACAGAGCAAGACTCTGTCTCAAAAAAAAAGGAAGCGACACCAGGGGCTGGTGTGCACAGAGGGAAAGGACACAGCAAGAAGAGGCATCCTGGCAAGTCAAACTAGACATTTGCAAACCTCAGCAGAAATCAAACCTACTGACACCTTGACCTTGAACTTCCAGCCTCCAAAGGGCCATCATGGCCCCAGAGCTCCCTGGAGGCCCACTGAGACCTGGTTATCGCTGCTTCTTCTGTGAACTTCACTCCTCTCAGGCATCTGCCCAGGGCCTCCTCAGTGCTCTTCCTGCGCCCGTATCTCTATTTTGGAGTGGGCTTCCTGAGAACCAGACCCATGACACGCTCTCTACCTTTCCATATTTCTCTTCTGGGAAAGAACACTTTGGCAGCATATCAAGAAGGTGATTCTTACAACAACAGCTTCTTCAAAGTACAAAGTTTTAAGAGTGACCCATACTGGAGGGCATTTGGGTGGAGGTAAAGGAGTCTGAATAGATGTTTTCATAGGGTCTTTTTATAGGACTTGCCTGCTCTAACTCAGTGTCACCTGATAGTTCTTCCTTAAACAGTCAGAAGGCTTAGAGGCACAAATAAAAGCAAAAATTACATATCATGCGCCCAATTCTGTTGTTCTCAGGCCAAATTTTGCTTCTTTCCCAAACTTCCAGAGGCCCCAAACAGTTTCACTTTCAACCCACTTAACCTTCTTGTACAAACTAAGAAAAGATTTGGGGTCATCACAATTTTCATTTCATTGCAGCAGTGAAAATAACAATTGGACTGAATTTCTTTCTTTTTCTTTTTTTCTTATATAGACAAAGTCTTGCATTGTTGCTCAGGCTGGTCTCAAACTCCTGGACGTGAGCGATCCTCCTGCCTCAGCTTTCCAAAGTGTAGGGATTATAGGCATGAGCCAAGGGAGTGAATTTCATTGAGAATTTACTCTTTTGAACATCTATTCTCTGCAGGCTACAGAAAAGGTAAATGAAAAATCCTTACCCTAAAGTGGTTGCAAAGTAGATACAGAGGTGAATTATATTAGACAGAAACCTGTCATTGTTACTGGAGACATGCTCAGAGGAAGGCCATTGGCCATTTTAGAGAGGACCTGATGATGGCAGCCTTGTTTCTGAAAATCAAAGTGAAGTCTGGGTTTTGTGACCCACAGTAACCTCAGCCATGGGAATCTCTCATGGTTGACATCAGATCTGTGATCACTTCTTCTCCCTCTGCAAGGCTTAGCCTTGAGCGAAATGTAGGAGAGGCTGAACCTGCCTTGGAGTGAGGTTTCCCACACCAACCTTGGTGTGGACTGTGCTTTGGAAACCTCTTACAAACCTCTTGGAAAAAGGCTTTTGAACTCTTTGGAAACAGATGTGGAGTAAACATAAAGGTTATGTTTGCGATATTCATACAAAAAGAAATAACATGGCCAGGCACGGTGGCTCATGACTGTAATCCCATCACTTTGGGAGGCCGAGGCGGGAAGATTACGAGGTCAGGAGTTCGAGATCAGCCTGGCCAACATGGTGAAACCCCATCTCTACTAAAAATACAAAAGTAAGCTGGGCATGGTGGTGGGCGCCTGTAATCCCAGCTACTCTGGAGGCTGAAGTAGAATTGTTTGAACCTGGGAGGCAGGGTTGCAGTGAGCCGAGATCGCACCACTGTACCCAGCCTGGGTGACAGGGCAAGACTCAGTCTCAAAAAAAATAAAAAAACAAAACAAAAAAAAGAAAAATAACACAGTTTCCAGTTTTGTTTGTACCAGCAAGTGCTGTTATTTACAGCACCTGTAACCTCAACAAAATGTTAGTATATTTATGTCTGTCTTGTTTCCTGTCAGAGCCTTATGCCTTTACAAAAAATCACATTGAGCCAAGTGTGTAACTTAGGTAATGAGTACAGGAAGTTCTCAAAGATTTAGAAGAAAACCTCTTCAAAACCACATAGAGGAAAAACAAGATTTAGCTGCAAAATCCATCTCCTACCTTCTGTCAGCTCCTATGGGAACCACAGCTCAGCTGCATACATTGTGTCTCTTCTCTGGGAGTGTCTTCTACAGTGAAACGTCAAGGGAGAATTAAGCATCAGGTAGATTGACATGAAGTCTAACGCAAGGCCATATCTTGTACTTGGTATGGATTTTGAGATGGTTCTGAAGCCAAAACTCTGGAGGCCATCACTGGGCAATGTCAGTTTGCATGAACCTACCATCACTTTCTCTGGTTTTTGTCAAAGGTTAAGGCTTTAGGGTGTGGGGATGTTCTAGAAGTCCACTGGGGCTTCTTACTGGCACTAGGGGTGATTTGGGCTGAGTTGGGCTACATGCTCTGAATCAACTTAAAACTTAAGGAGATCCCACAGAGACTATAACAGAGACTATAAATTATCCTTTCTCGTTAGGATTCCCTAAGGTAACTACAATTTTGGCATGGGATTTAAAGTATGAACTAGATGTTTCAGCAAACTCCAAGACTGGCTGATTGGTTATGTATTAGCAGGTTCAGAACCCTCCTTGGGCATGCTGCATTAACTTAGATGCCTTTAATCCACTTGCACTGCTTTAGAAGTCAATACAAGCCTTCCCTTGTATTCCCTAGGTAGCGTCTGGATCTTTGTAATGTACTCAACATAGACCTTTGACGATTTTTATACTCTGTTGAAAATAATGTCTAAATACATTCTTTTTTCATGACTTACATTTGTCTGTATATCCTCTGTTATTAAAAATTTTCTTTCTTTTTTTCTTTTCGAGATGGCATTTCACTCTTGTTGCCCAGGCTGGAGTGCAATGGCGAGATCTCAGCCACTATAGCCTCCGACTCCTGGATTCGAGAGATTCTCCTGCCTCAGCCTCCTGAGTAGCTGGGATTACAGACACCTGCCACCACACATGGCTAATTTTTTGTATTTTCAGTAGAGACAGGGTTTCACCATGTTGGCCAGGCTGGTCTCGAACTCCTGACCTCAGGTGATCCACCTGCCTCAGCCTCCCAAAGTGCTGGGATTACAGGCATGAGCCACCGCAAATGGCCTATTTTCTTTCTTTTAAAAAAAATTTATTCATTTGAAAGTTATTCAAGAAGTTATTTTAATTTTTTTGGAAGGTGGATACATTTTAACATCTAAAGGATAGTAGGATTTTCTGCACTTTGTAGTAAATTCTGTGAGAAGAAATGAGTGCAAACCATTCAGTCAATGATGCCTAGTGAAAACAGAGACCAGGCACAGGGGCTCACACCTGTAATCCCAGCACTTTGGGAGGCCAAGGCTGGAGGATCACTTGAAGCCAGGAGTTCTGAGACCTGCTGGACACATAACAAGCTCTTGTCTCTACAAAACATTTTTTAAAAAATTAGCCTGGCATGGTGGCATGCACCTGTAATCCCAGTGACTTGGAAGGCTGAGGCAGGAGGACTGCTTGAGCCCAAAAGCTCAAGGTTGTAGTGAGCTGTGATTGTGCCTCTGCACTCCACCTTGGGTGAAGGAGCTCATCAATTCACATTGATATCCCTATACTATAGTTTTCTTTGAAATTTACAATTTCATGTAACATACACACATGCCCATCAGTTTATATGTCTCCACATACGCAATATTAACACTACATCTTTGTATATATACATATACACATATTTAATAATTACATCTTTTATATATACATATTTATCTGGTTCTACATGTGTATTTATATAATGTCTATTTATACTTATAAAATCAAATGATGATTGGGAATACTTTTCTTTTTCGTTTGTAGAGAGGGGGTCTCGCTCCATTACCCAGGCTTGTCTTGAATTCCTGGCCTCAAGTGATCCTCCCGCCTGACCTTCTCAAAGTGCTGGGTTTACAAGCGTGAACCATTGCACCTGGCTGGACATCTTTTAATGTTGAATTTGAAATGATCAGTTTCCTTAATTGCTAATTTTAAGCTACATCAGAAAAACTGGATAACTATTTGTGTGAGCTCCTTGGGACAATCACTTCTCCAAAATCCACTTCTGCCCTTAGATCTTGGGATTTTCTTAACCATCCCAGAATAGGGATCTCTATCCTGTTTGAGAGGAGAAGCTACCTTTCACTTTCTAAAGCCTTGTGCACTCTCAAAGTAAAAGGAGAGAGGCGATTGATAGAGAAAATCCTGAAGTGCTTGAGATCTCTGACAGTGAGCCACCTCCTAGCTGGGAATCTGCAAACTGAGTGGAAAGTAAAAGGGGAAAGGGGTGCAGCTGCGGTGGCACCCACCTTTCACCAGGGCCAGCGTTTGCCAGGGGGCTGGGCTACATCTTGGGCATGCAGTGGTGTACCTGGAGTATCTAACACCACGTGTCTTCTATACACAAAATTATTCCCACTACTCATGTAATAATCAGTAATAATCATTATTCTTTCAATTAAAAAGGATATGTTTTAATTTTAGAGATATTAAGTTTTATAAAATATTACAAGTATAAACTAAAATTGGAATTACCGAACAAAAAAAATCACACTTCACAGGTGACATTCAGTTTCACTCTTTTACATTTTAAGCATACAAAAAAAATTCCAGCTGGGCAAGGTGGCTCATGCCTGTAATGCCAGCACTTTGGGAGGTCGAGGTGGGAGGATTGCTTGAGGCCAGGAGTTCAAGGCCAGACTTGACTGCATAGTGAGATCCTATCTCTACACTTTTCTTTTTTTCTAAAGCCAGGCATCCCAGATACTTAGGAGGCTGAGGTGGGAGAATCACTTCAGCTTAGGAGGTTAAGGCTGCAGTGAGTTATGATCATGTCACTGCACTCCAGCCGGGGTGACAGAGTGAAACTCTGTTTCAAAAAAAGGAAAAATTTCCAACTATATTAGGGTTCTCTAGAGGGACAGAACTAATAGGATATGGGAGTTTATTAAGAAGTATTGACTCACACAATCACAAGGTGAAGGTGAGGTCCCACAATAGGCTGTCTGCAAGCTGAGGAGAAGCATGGAAGCCAGTCCAAGTCCCAAAGCTGAAGAACTTGGAGTCTGATGTTCAAGGGTAGGAAGCAGCCAGCACGGGAGAAAGATGTAGGCTTGGAGGACAAGCCAGGCTAGTCCTTCCACGTTCTTCTGCCTGCTTTTATTCTGGTGCACTGGCAGCTGATTAGATGGTGCCCACCCAGATGAAGGGTGGGCCTGCCTTTCCCAGCCCACTGACTCAGATGTTAATCTCCTTTGGCAACACCCTCACAGACATACCCAGGATCAATACTTTGCATCCTTCAATCCAATCAAGTTGACACTCAGTATTCACCATCACACAAGTCATCGCGTAAAATGACAAAATCGAAGTATTGCAAGTTCTGCTTCATCTTTACAATCACTGTGCTCTCCTCAGTTATTTCAAATCCACCTTAGTCTCACTCTGTGGTCCAGGCTTGAGTGCAGAGGCACCATCTTGGCCCGCTGCAACCTCTGCCTCCTGGGTTCAAGCGATTCTCATGTCTCAGCCTCTTGAGTAGCTGGGATTGCAGGCACCTGCTATCATGCCTACCTACTTTTTGTATTTTTAGTAGAGACAGGGTTTCGCCATGTTGGCCAGGCTGGTTTCGAACTCCTGACCTCAAGTAATTCACCTGCCTCAGCTTCTTAAAGTGCTGGGATTATAGGTGGAAGCCACTGAGCCCAGCCTTTTAAACACAGTAGCAGGAGGTGGTACCACAGGGTTGGAGCCAGGTAATGGGCCCGAAGCAAAATTGAGTGCTTCCAAAGTGCTATCAATTTATTCTCAAAACACCTTCCTGTGGATGAGTCCTGGTAAGCCAGAATCACTGAGAATTCTCCAGAGTTACTTCTGTATGCATAAGATGATGATTATTCAAGTGTGTTAACTGGAAACTTACATATATACTAGTAAAACTCACCAATAACTGCAGCAATTGTTTAGAACATACGCCGCAAAGAGATTTCTCAGGAAGGTGCATTTGTATTTTGTGTAGAATCGCTAGTATCATTGGTTTTAAGATTTTCTTTTTTTGTCTCTACTTGTGATGCATCCCCTGTTGCCTAGCGTGGCTCGCTCTCCCACTCCTCACTCTCTTCATAAGGGAGTGGGAATCTGGACTTGGAAGATATGGACTAGTGTTGGTGTATGACCTTGAGAAATTGACCAATATTGTGGTTGCTGACTTATTAGTAAAGTGGAAACGATGACACTTCTCTGCTGACCTCACATAGCTGTTACGGAGATTCCAGAACTGTGGGCCTGAAACATGATCTACATAGGCTAATCTGTTCGCGGAGCCCATGACATTGCAGTTTGCCACAGTAAGAGCCTCTCAGTCTCATCTTGGGCGTCCAGAGTGCACCTGCTGCTTCTGTCACCTGTCTCCTGACTGGCTCCTCTGTCCACTTTCTGAACAGTGGGGGCATTTCCCCAGCTTCTTGCATTGGTGCTGGGCTCCTCTCACTTCCCTCTTTTCTGTCCCTTTTCCTCCTTTCTCTCTCTGCTGAGCTTACCCACTTTCTGCTTTTACTAATTAGCCCAACAAGAGCTCCCAAATCCACCTCTCCCTTAAATGCCAGGCCAGCATTTCCAACAGACTGCTGTCTTCTCTCAGTCCGATGAACACATTCAAAAATGGAAACTTCTGTCTCTTTCCCTCGCTTCAGAGCAGCATTTCAGGAACCCAAACCTGAAACTTCAGAGTCTGCACCACACGCTCTTTTTATTAGTCTTTACACTCAAACAGAAATGAACTAGAGTGGGCAGAGGGGACAGCTGTGGAGGGGCCGTGGGGTCAGCTGACTGGAGTCAGATCCTGGCTATACCACGTCTGGCCTTGAGAAAGTGTTTTAATGTCTGAATCCTAGACTTTTTGTTTGTTTGTTTGTTTAAATAGGCAGGGTCTCACTCTGTCACCCAGGCTCAGGCTGGAGTGCAGGGGTGCAATCTTGGCTCATTGCAGCCTTGGCCTCCCAGGCTCAAGTGATCCTCCGGCCTCAGCCTCCTGAGTAGCTGGAACTACTGGTGCACACCACTATGCCCAGCTAATTTTTGTATTTTTTTTGTAGAGAAGGAATTTTACCATGTTGCCCTGGCTGGTCTTGAACTCCTATGCTCAGGCAATCCTCCAGCCTCAGCCTCCCAAAGTGCTGAAATTATAGGTGTGACCGACTGCACCCAGCCTTAAAAGTGAGTTTTAACTAGTATTTTTCCATCTTCTACCTGAAAAACAGTCACAGAGATAATAATTTATTTTTCCTGTTAAGTCCTTTTCCTTTAAGGGGTATTGAATATTTTTTTTCAATTATTTTTTAAAATCGTGGTAGATCACACATAGCAAAGTATCGTCTCAAGCATTTTTTTAAGTGGACACTTTAGTGCCATTGAATACACTCACATTCTTGGGCAACCATCACCACCTGTCTCCAGAACTTTGTGTTTCCCCATACAGAAACTCTACCCATGAAGCAGCTCCCTATTCTCTCCTCCCCAAAGTCCCTGGCAACCACCATTCTACTTTCCATATATGTGAAGTTGACCACCCTAGGTACCTCATATAAGGGGAACCATATGGTATTGTCCTTTTGTGACTGGCTTATTACACTTAGCATAAAGTCTCCAAGGTTCATTCGTGTTGTAGCATGTCAGAATTCCTTTTTTTTTTTTTTTAAAGATGGAGTTTCGCTCTTGTCGCCCAGGTTGGAGTGCAATGGCGTGATCTCAGCTCACCGCAACCCCTGCCTCCTGGGTTCAGGCGATTCTCCTGCCTCAGCCTCCTGGGTAGCTGGCATTATAGGTGCCCACCAGCATATCCCACTAATTTTTGTATTTTTAGTAGAGATGGGGTTTCACCATGTTGGCCAGGCTGGTCTCAAACTCCTGATCTCAGGTCATCCGCCCGCCTTGGCCTCCCAAGGTGCTGCGATTACAGGCATGAGCCACCACGCCTGGCCAAAATTTCCTTCCTTTTTAAGGCTGAATCATGTTCCGTTG